CCACATGAATAGTAGGCTTTATAATTTTTTTAAGACTGAAATATTATGTCAGGAATGTATTTTTTTAAATCTATGATACAGCTGTGTGTGTGTGCATGCATGTGTTCTTTCTAGATATGATGGGGATAGATGCTTCCTAACTTTTCCGTTTGCCAATTTATCAGTTGTATCCATTGGCTTATTAATTGTGAAAACTGTCGTCTCTCTCAGAGCAGCAGTGGTGTTTCTTCTGCACAGGCTACTCTATATCGTTATGTAAAATTTGGTGTAGGTTTGTTTTTGTGTGCATGTGTGTGAAGTCATTTTCTTTGGCTTTGTTTTGATGTTCTGGAACCTTCTAATTTAATTTATTTTGTTCTTGTTATTTGATGAACCAGGCCTAACTTGGTCAGTTATCATCTAAATACAGCCCAAAGTCTGTATGGGACTGGAGTTTTCTGGGACATACATGTGGTGAAAGACCAGAGATTAAAAATAGTTTCTAAATTATTAATCCAGATTAATTGAAATAAAACTTTAAAATATTTCATCTTCTCATTTTTATTATTTGTATACATAACAATTATGAAAGAAGCCAATGTGCAAAATTAATGTGTGTTTATACTGGGCAGTATTTAATTGTAGCTCTTATGAGTGTAAACTAAAGAGAAAGCAAAAAAAAGACAACATGGTATTTTCATTATTTATATTGTGTCTTTTCCCCTATCAATTCCTCCAGTTGTCTCCTACATTTAAAATGAGTATTGTTTCTATGGGTATTTTTATTTGTTAGCTTTTTAGAGTTTCTTTTTTTTCCTTTTCCATCAGCTACCATGGCCGTCGGGAATAAAAGAAAATAATAATGAGTATCATTTTAATTATCATCTAGTATTCAGATGATATGAAATCATTTTGAAGTAAAAGAAAACTGTATCAGGCAACATTTACACAGCAGTGTAAGGGCTTTTTACAGCACTTGTTAGTGCTAACAACATTTTGCCAATTACTGATATTAAGGTGGCAACAGGCCCATACTAGCAGCATCTGAAGCTCAGCTGTATTTCTGCCATTCGGGCAGATTTATGCACACCTGGGGTTGGCCACACCCTGTTGGTATGATCAGTCAGCAGTGTATCGTGTGCGTGTGTGTGTGTGTGTGTGTGTGTTTTAATTCAAAATTTCCTTTTGAAACTCAACTAAACAGTGTTAACTCTGTGTGTGTGTGTGTGTGTGTGTGTGTGTGTGTGTGTTTAAATTCAGTTTTGTATGCTAGCATTCTTTAAATGTCTGCCAGGAGTTTAATTTGAATTTCTGATCCCTGAAGGCAGCTAGGCAGAATCATTCTAGTTCTTCATAAATTGCCTTTTATGGTTCATTGTTAACTCATAAAACATACGCATTTCTGTATACTCAAACAGTTAAGGTAGTTACAGTATTGAGGATATAATTTTTTTTACATTATATTTAAATTTTCATTTGAGAAAGAAATCAAGAAATACGTTGAACTCCCAGTTAAGGCATGAGCCTGTAGCACAGAAAATATCAGAAATTAATGTGTTTTTTTTTTTCCTCAAGAGGATAAGAGAGATGGCATAGAATCGGGGGGAAAAGTTTTAGTTTTGACTGAATACTCTCAAAGAGGGGCCCATAAATATTAGAGCACTGTAGTGAAAAACTCACATGACTGTTTTAAATACTATTGATTTAAACCATGGGCTAGATTTTATGAATCAAAGTGTAATTTCTAAGCTTTGGCCATATTTCTCAGTGCTAAAGCACTCTCTCTTGTGTGCCTTTAGCTGCTTTCCAGACATTCAACACAGGATTAAATGATAGTAGTTGTAGTGATCAATAGGTTAAGACCGGTACAATCACTCTTGCTGCTAATGACCTCAGTAGTAATGGGCAATAAAGTGTGGGCTCTAATAGCCTCTTGCTGGTACTGCATGCCCTTTGATTCCTGGTATTAGTAGGGACTGGCTACGTGAAAAACTTGGACATTGGGAGTTAAGGGAGGGGATGTGTAGGCTATAATTCTTAGCTCTTTAAAGCCTTACACTGCGCTTCCCCGCCCACCCCCCACCCCCGCCTTTCTATCCCACAATGGTTTCTGTCTGTTTGGGTATGTTTGCGAAAGCTCTCCATAAACCTATTTTCATGACGTGTAGAATAAACTTTAGGGAAGGAAATCTCAGTTTTATCACATTTATAAATTAATCTCCAGCCGGCTTTGGAGGCTCAGAGCTAACTGGTGTGAAAGTGTGGTTTCAGATAGTAAAAGCAAAGGTAACGCCATCAGGATATAATAGCCCACTTCTGATTATTCAGAGACCGATCCCCAGGCTGGAGGATTACTCAGGCTGCTTTGCCTCTTTCTTCCCTTGGCTGTCCCTGCTGCTTTATGCATTTTAAAACTCATCAGCACCTCCATCTGAATGTCCAAAGGGAAAAAAGGAAAGACCCAAGTTCACTTTTCTGTTTTGTAACATGACTATAAAAACTGAATAAATAACTATGGGAAAAGGAAATTTATACTGTTGGCTGTATGTAAAGATTTAAAAATTATATGTCAGTCCTTTTAACTTTTTACATTGATTTTATTGAAGTGTACTTTGCATTCTATAAAATGCACTCATTTTAAGCGTACATTTGGAAAAATTTTGATAATTTTAAATATCTGTGTGACTACCACCCCAATCAAGATAGAGGACATTTCCATCAGCCCCCCCGCAAAATTTTCTTGCACCCCTTTCTAGCATAGGTCCTCCATAGTTCATTTAAAAATTAACGATCAAGATGTTGTTTCTGTGATGATTTCTTTTATAACACTGTTAATTTTGTGTTCATCACCAGTTTAGATCTTACACCACCCTATTCCTGTCTATTTTCCTGTTCATCACCATCAGAAATTTGGCTCAAGAATATTTGTATTGTACATCATCCAAGGAACGCAGAGGAAAAAAGAAACCTTAAACATGGCTCTTTTGTTTGCTTACTCAAGCCTCCCGGTATGATGATGCAACTCTCAAGGAAAAGTAAACATCTATTGTGATATGTTAGCTTTAGCAGCTCAAAAGAATAGTGATTGGCACCCAAATACATACTGAAATATTCAAATTGTTTCTTCTGTATGAAGACAAAGTACAGTAGTAATTGGAATTAATTTATAGATGTTTTGATAATGTCTTCTTGGTATTTGCCTTGGATTGAAGTCCGCTGTAAACCATCAGTGATATTTTGTGTTTCGAAGTAGTCTTTTTTTTTAAAAGGATAATTTATCCATTCATATACATCTGTCCCTTTTTGCATGTAAAAATATTCAGACATTCCCATCTGTTTTAAATTACAATGTATCTACATCCACATTTCAAAGGCCGCTGCAATAGAAAGAATTCGTTGATGACCTTCCAGAGTTGGGTTAATGAAATTTTTCAAATGTTCTGGTTAGTGTTTTCCAAACAATGAGAAACTTGCACATAAACATCCTCACACAAACATACCCGTGACAACAGTGAAGGGTGTTCACTGTACATGAATCTGACCTTCAGGAACCATTTTTAGTTCATCAAAATTAGTGATGCTGAGAAATCGGGACATCAGTGCATAATGACTGTGAAATTAGGAATGAGAGCTTGGTATGCAAATGACAGGACAAATCATGTGAAAAAGTCAAGATAAACTGCTTATTAAGGCATTATGTTACATAAAATTAATACCGCATTTCTCGATTTTGCTTACTGCTCCCCTGAAAGATTTTAAAATTCTTTTATCTTCTGATCAGCTATTGTCTGCCGGATTTTTTTTTTTAAGTGGCACACAGGCAAAGTGCAAAACATGTTATTACCTTTTATTGTAATACATGAAATGACAGCAGATCCTTTTTAACAAAGTATATCCTTTACTGCTTCTTGCTGTCACATGTTTGATTAGAAACCAAAGAAAAGTAAGATGCTTAAATATTACTGTTAGACGACATACAGTTTTGTCTTTTCTTTCATTGTTTTTTTCTTTCCTTATCTTTTTTTTATTTGGGGGGGGTGGTTTTTCATGAAATAGTCTTCTTGTATTACGGGGACTGACAAAATGGTTCTCAATGTAGTCTGCAAATTAAACACAAGTGCAGTGATTATTTTGAATAGCTAAATTACATTCTAGAAAGCTTGCAGAATTCATAGCATTGTCATTAGGTATCCGCTTGAATACAATTTGTGTAACCTTGGCCAAGACAGCCTGTCATTTTAATGTCAGTGTTTTATCTGAACAAGACATCATCCTTTCAAGATACTTTGTGCAGGTTCCTTGCAGAGATGCCCGTGCAGAAACGTGTTAACAGTTGCAAATATGAAATGCTATCAAGTTCATCACTGGAGCTGTTTGTCACTGAAATGTCATGGAAAGCAGCTTTAATAGTATCACATGTGATATGAAAGAACTAAGACATCTGTATGCTGGGTGGATAAGGAAGGGCAAAAGGCATGATAGGAAGGGTCTGTGTTTAAGTTCAGAAACTGTGTCCAAGGTTCAGTTTCCACAAGACCAAGCATCCCTTGATTGTCCTTAAAATCACGATCCGCAGAGGAAGCAGATTATGTTAGCTTCAGCTGCGGAGGTACTGGTTCCCATTTGCCTTCCTCTCTAAAACAAAATTCAAGTTTGTGTTGACTTCCTACAGCTCATTGTGACGGAAAACTCATTCTTAATAAGAAATTGAAATTGTTCTAACCTAGCTGCAGACATTAACTAAGCCTTCTGTCCTTGTCCGCTTGCAAAAATGCCTGGAACACCCTGTCAGTGCTTCAGGGTTTTCTTTTTTTATTTACTTAAAATAAACTTCATAATAGATTCAGTAGGGTCTGTCGCTCCCTCCCATCTGGATAAGTACATTGTGCATGGGAAATTGGTCAGTTCTTGAAGCCGTCTGGTGACCAGCAGCCGCTGAACCCGGAAAGGCTGACTGTTGTGTGTGTGTGTGTGTGTGTGTGGTTTCCTGGCTCCTGCTTATCCTGTTGTTAATGTTCTAGGTGCCCGTGTCAGTGGCTATGATGACACCTCAAGTCATCACTCCCCAGCAAATGCAGCAGATCCTCCAGCAACAAGTGCTGAGCCCTCAGCAGCTCCAGGTTCTCCTGCAGCAGCAGCAGGCCCTCATGCTTCAACAGGTAACTGTCCTTCCTCCTGCCCCCTGACCTGCACACCTGCCCGTCACTCCAGTCAGGTTGCCCTCACCTGTGCAGCAGCTTTCCTTTTGACAGAATACTCAGACTACAGAGCACGGGGCAGAACAGACTGCATCTCCATCCCTGAAAGCGAGAGACCCTGCCAGAGTTACTAGGTCTTGGCCTGGAGAGCACCCAATGGACTGAGATTAGGACTGTAATTGGACTTGGTAGAAATAAGATCTTTCAGGCTTATGTGGCTTTACATTCTTCTACTTGGTAAGCCCAGAGGCCTCTAAATGGTGTGCATCAAAGCAGAGTGGGGAGCACACTGGGAGCAGGTCTAATAGAACAACTCTTGCAGCCCCCATTTCAACTCAGAAGCCTACAGAGTTGTTTGTTTGTTTAAATTAAAGAAGCATTGTGGGATTGGCTAATTGTAAGGTACATAGTTGATTTTATTTTTTTCAACTATGCTAATGCTGAAATGAATTTCTGGCTGCCATTGTGCCATGGAGATCTAATCTTCAAACTTCATGAACACCTGAATGGAAAAGATGAAATTCAGTACTATAGTGACCAGCATTGCGGGGCGAGGTGTGGGGAGAGGGTTCCGAGGAGGCTGGCTACCGACGCTGCCAAGGCGCATGCTAAACAGCCTCAGCTTTGCCGAACCCTATCATTTAGAACGCATGTGCCTATTTCACAGTGGAGATTCACCAGACTCTCTCAGCAAGGGCATTTTGGCTTTGTTGTACTATCAAAGGTCATCCCTTGCCTTATTTTAATTAGTTTGTGTAGAAAATGGTATGTTTTTCATCAGTTCATTTGGGGTATTACTTTTCAAACAATAATGCCAAGACAAGTCAGTGTGTGCTGAAATTTATTGTCAAGTTTTGAACCAAAGGTCAGGCCATTACAGATAAAAGGATGCTATTTTTCAAATCACAGTTTGTATATGGCACCAAGAGGGACAGTGGACTGGCGCTACCCTCTGTGACTTACCGTCCTCTCCTTTCTTTGTAGCAGCAGCTTCAAGAGTTTTATAAAAAACAACAGGAGCAGTTGCAGCTTCAACTTTTACAACAACAACATGCTGGAAAACAGCCTAAAGAGGTACCGACAATACATATTTTACTTTCAAACCACAGATCCCAGAGGACTATCTAGTGGCTATTAAACTGTCATTCATCTTTTAAATGATTGCACAACTGAGCTGACTCTATCAGTTCTCAGCTTTCAGACTGAGAATTATTGTCCTGTTTTCGCTCAGATTTTTCTGGGTTCTATTTGTTTGCCAACACGTATTTTATAACGCTACTGCAGGTGTACCTTGTGTGAGCATGGGGAAGCGGAATTGTGGGCAGAATCTTCCAGGCTTCTTTTGTAAGAGATACCTGGAGAAAGTCAAATGCTTTTCAGTAAAATTTGATTTGGACACACACTTGATTATTGTTTCCATCTCAGAGAGTTTGGGGGTGTGGTGATGGCCTTTTTCTTTAGAATGATAATCTCTTGTGAGGTTGGACAAACAAAAAGTTAGAGCAAGATTAAACACCTACAATCTCAGTTTAACTTCTTCCTGCAGGTTGTCCATACAGTAAGTGCCAAAAGCTAGTCTGCAATAGTACAAGTTAAGATTACAGAACTCTCTAGCTTCCAAGCTTTGTGTGGTTCCCTAACAAAATATAGCAACTTCCATTGCACAGTACTTTGGAAGTACATGGTTACTGCATGTGTCATCCCACCCAGTTAAGGGGCAGTGTTATGTCCATGAATGGTAAGGCCTTTGGTGGGGAGAGGAGTTCATTTCACCTGTACTGTTCCGTGTGCGTGAGGCTTAGTCATTTTGGGGGAGTATCTTTGTGTATGCAAGCATTATCTTGACATCTTTCTACCCGTCCCAGAGTTATCTGATGTCACTTAACTTCCTCATATTTTTTGAAATTCTTTTCATTTAAGTATTCTCCTTGGAATGGCAGAATTTATAGTTCGACAAACAGCTCAACACTCTAATTTAATGGCTTCTTCACTGGCCCTAGGCAGGTGGCCACTTTCCTTGGTTGGGAAAGAGTCTTCCCAGGTGACTCTCCACTCGAGTGTGGAGGCCAGGAAGCACTGATTTTACACACTGGGAATGACCCAGACCTTCTCCCTATGTGGGCTCCTCCCTCAACACAAATCGGGTCCATTTTTCCATACCCTGCCAAGTTTTCACCCTGGAGTCCTCTTTAGCAGCCTAAATATAAACCCCCTGTAGAATAGGGGCAGTTTGGGAGTAAAAGGGAGGAGGTGCTTTAATGAAAATGCTGACACAACCTATGTACAGTGGCATACTACCGGGTGCTGCTATAATAGAAAAGGGAACAGATTAAAAAGTGTCTAAAATGTAAATCTAAAGGACTAACAGTAATTAAAATGGAAATGGCACAGGGAGGGAAGGCATGTAATTGTGAGATATCACTGTGCAGAAGGCTCTCAGCTTTGTTTTGCTGGCTGTTTTTCTAATTCAGTAGGGCTTACTCATCAGTGGCAGTTCAATGCGCGTTAATGACTCTGGGATTGCAGGCATCACTCTGGACAAAGAAATGATTATTGTGCGGTCAAAAGAAGTTCAAAGACAAGAAGGGAATTTCAGTTTTTTCCTTAGAGATCCACATTCAAGAGCATATAAATTAAGCCAAATGTTAAAAACCACAGTCTGAAAGCTGACTTCAAAGTCACAACTCTCTAATTAATGAACTGCGAGCTTCAGTTTGGACAAGTTGTGGTTTGATGCGCCCATAAATCAACATGACAGGCCTGTTTCACAGTCTGAGACAGTGCTTGTCATTGAGTCACATCAGATGTAAACACAGCAGAAAAAAGAAGGGATATGAAGGAGGTGCAATTGATCAACAGAATTGGTAAAAACCCACTTTTGAAGCACATTATGCATGATCACAGGAAATGGTTACAGCCTCAAGAGGTTTCCCCTTCTGCCGTTGCTTTTTTGAATCAGATTTCTAACAGCCTTCAAAAGGGAGAATAAGAATTATGGAGTTTCTCCCCTGTGGCTCACAGGCAATAACCCCCTGTTGTTATTTTGTGCTTCTTTCTTTTCAAAGGCATCAAAATTTAGTTTTTTAAAGATCTTTAACTCTATATTTGAAGACAAACAAAAAAGGGCTGCCACTGTCATTCTTATCAGTTACCAGGGATTGTGTTTTTCCTTTCTGTTGCCACTTCTTATTAACCTCTTATTTGGTCTGTTAGACATAGTTTGGAATGCACATCTGCATGCTGGGAGAACATGAAAGTTCAGATGCGCTCAGAGAGCAGGAAAAAAAAAAATGCGAAGGGGAAAGTTACGCAGCAGAAGGAAGGATAAAAGTTAGCTCTCCCCAGTTGCTGCTGTCAGAAAGGGGGCATCTCGACATGCAGAAATGCTGCTGGTGTCTGCCTTTGGGAAGGGAGGTGGGAAAAGAAAGGGAATACTTTGTGTCTGAACAAGGAGGTGAGACATTGCAGTAGCATTTTAGCACCTCTAGGACATTAGGTTTGTTGTGGTCACACTTTGTCATCCATTTTGAAGGCAAAGGTGGTACAGAAGGTATATTGCCTTAACATCCTGATGGTAGACAGACGCACGGGCAGGTCTTCTTGGATTCTAAGATATGTTTATAGTGCTGGTAGATGTAGTCAAGACCTACTGTAGCAGTGATTAAGAGATTCTTATTTTCCTGAGGTAGTGTCCTGAAATTATGCAGGTGGTGGTCCTTTTGTGCTACAATGAAATAGAGTCACATGGTAGCAATTTCACGATGTGGACTGGCGGTATTGACTTTAAACAAGGTTTAAACTTAGATGTTGACAGATGGAACAAGTATATTAATTTACTGAATCCCCAGTCATTAGTGGCTCATAATTCTGAATTGTCAGGTTTTCCTCCACCACCCCCCTTCGCTATTTTGATTACCTTTGCTGTAAGTCACTTGAACTTTGGCCAGAACAATGAAGCTTTACTTGCTTTTTTCCTAAAGTTGCCTGAAAGATGTTTCCTTGACAGAGTTGGGCTCCACATTGAGTTAAGCCTGAGACCTTCCTTAAGAGATAGACACTCTGTAGCTCCATACAGCTAGCGATTCAAACAACTGCTTACAGAGTGGGAGAGGAAAATAGAAGGCAGAATTAATAGTAAGTCAAGCCACAAAGTTCCCATCCTGTGTGGGTGAGGTAGGCTAAGTTGATTGTTTTAAAAGGGCCGTTTGTCCCAGGCAGTTATGACAGTTTATGTTAGGCAGTAGGGAGGAGCCGAAGAAAGGAAAACAGACCTTTGACTGCAGCTCCAGGGAGGGGATCCGAAATGCAAGGTTTATCGGGGCATTTGAGCATTTTAACACTGACTACTGACCTGTCGAGGGGACTGCACGGAGACCTTTTTTGTGTGCATTCAATTGTGAGAAGTAAACAAATGGGCTCGTATCCTGTGTTTGGTAACTGGGTGGGGAGCAGTTTGGCAACCACTGTTGCTTTTAAATTCTTTCTTTGGACAATGGGCCTTGTATACTTTTATATCCTGGCTTTTCAAACGTGGACAGCTTTCATGAGCTTTCCTAGGGATGGCCACAGTGACAACAGAAAAGCCATCAGTCATTTTATATAAATACAAAATTTTTAAACATTTCATTTACAGTAAGACAGGAAACACCCTCCCTAAACTCAAACACACCCCCATTATTTTCTTCAAGAAGAGCTAGAGACCTGATCTTTTATTTTATCAGTGTCGGTTTTTCTTTTCCTCCCCTCTTGTTTTAAAATGCCACGAATTAATATCTATTGAAGAAGTGAAAAATCATTTTGACATGAATATAACTATCATCAGGTTTTACATTAATGTGATAACTTGGGAAAGGGTGGAAACAAGTGGATCATTTTATGCATGCTGTTTTTAAAATGAAAACACTGGCTTTTCATTTAAATTTATTTAAATTTTTGTTGTTAGTGGTATAGAATTTGTTTTTTGGAGTGAAACTCAATTAACTTTCTCAGTGGCATGGTAGTAAGTCTGAAATTGGTTGCTAATATGAGAATGATGGTTTTTTACTGTAAAATAAACTACATGGAGACTGAAAGGAAACCACCATTTTTCTCTTCCTTTGAACTTTGCATCAGAAGGTCTTGATCCATACACCATTTTATGGATGTATCGGATCGAGGTCATGTGTTAGGTTAAGTGAATGCAGTTGTTAGTAAAGTGCAGTTATTAAAAGCTCTGGCAGGGTTGTGTAGTCCTGTTAGTTGCAAAGTCTCCCTGATATTTTGAATGATACTTAGAATTAGGAAAACAGACCTTGTTCTTTTCCTAAAGAATCTCTTTTGGGGACTACAGTTTGGGAAGGGTTAATTTTCCCTTCAGAATTTTAGCAATGATGTGGCTGAGACCTCCACCTCCATCTGATTCCTCACAGATTTAAGGATATGAGATAATTTCCCTCTATTTTTGTTCTGCTGCACTGTATTATCTTTCTATCACTCAGATAATTACTGAGGAAATCTACATTAATTTTTTTGGCTGGAGCAAAGCCTACTAAACACAGGAATGATGTATTGATGTTTTACACAACAGAAGTTTTCCTCCTGTCATTGTCCAATCAACAAAAAGATATTTATCAAACTGCAAAGCCCCTTCTTTTCAAGAACAAAGCCCGGGAAGCTGGACGCCAGCCCCGAGGGTTCTGAAACTCCAGCCCAGTGAAGACATCTGAAGCTTACAGTGTCCTTCATGTGAGACACAGTTGAGTACGGTGTTGTTTGCTAAATTATGAATGTGTGTAATTAAAATCTAGTGGCTGTTTCTATGAAAGATTTACAATGTTATTTCATCGTTTGTCATGGCTAATTAACAATATTAGATGAAGTTTTTCTTCTTCAAAGGTCTGATTTTTTTCTCATTTATTTATGTCAGAATTGATAAACAGAGTAGTTAAAAGCTTCTCCCAGCACTGGAAGAAGGCAGCTTATTCTTACACACCTCAGAGGTGCAGAGTTCAAATCTCTCTATACTGGGGTGTTGCATATTCTTTCTAGTGTGTCTAATTAAAGATTTCAATGTTGAGCAGCTCACACGCAGACTACAAAACTCGGGCCTTTCTGACTCTAGGAAGAGCTAACATGATTGATGAGTTCTTTTCCTGTGTGAGCACAGCAGACAGGCTTGCTTCCACTCATCATCTGGCCTCAGAGGTGAGGTGTTCAGTCCTTTTCATGTCAGTCTTGACACTGAGCCTCCACTCACCTAGTGACCATTGTCAGTGTTGGACGATGACAGTGGTTTCAGACATCCCAGGGTCAGTGTTGGATGATGTGATGGTTTCGCATGTCCCACTGTCAGTGTTGGGTGATGTGCTGGTTTCAGACTTCCTCCTGTCAGTGTTGGATGATGCCCTGGTTTCGAACATCCCTATCACACATGCCCGGGGCATGGGTCTCACCCTCTCTTCCCCTCTTTTCTCTCGGAGCAGCAGGTGTCTACCATCTCATGTTCTTCTCCCTGGTCTCTCTCTCTTGCAGCAGCAGGTGGCTCCCCAGCAGCTTGCTTTCCAGCAGCAGCTCTTGCAGATGCAGCAGCTCCAGCAGCAGCACCTCCTGTCCCTGCAGCGCCAGGGCCTCCTCACGCTGCAGCCAGGCCAGCCCGCACTGCCCCTCCAGCCCCTCGCTCAAGGTGGGTGAACTAGACAAAGGTGCCAGGATGTGTCATGGTGAGTTCCAGCTCATCACTGAGGAATGTCCAGCTGAAACATGCACACACAGGCTTAGAGGAAAAGCTGGATGAAGTAGTAGTGATGAACCTTTGGAGAAGTCGTAGTGCTTGTTGATGCCACAGTTCAGGCCAGGGTGGTCTGATGGCTTAACCCAGTGATCCTGCTGGTGCACATTCTTACAGTGGGAGAAAGCCATACTGCTCAACTTCCTAGCATTCTAATCAGATTGAGCATTTTCAGTTTGGAAACACAAATGAATTTTCTTGAAGGTTTTTTTTCTTAGTCATTTTAAGCTGTATTCCCTGTCATGTAACGTGTTTGAAATCTTAGTAGTGCTTTATAAACCCCACTCTTCAATATCTAGGGACAGACTTAGGTTTATTTTTGTGTAAGCAGTTAAGATTAAACTCTTTCACCATGGTTAGTGTGGCTCAGTTGGTTGGGCGTTGCTCCGCAAACTAAAAGGTCATGTGTTCGATTGCTGGTCAGGACACATGCTTTGGTTGTGGGTTCAGTCCTGGTTGGGGCGTGTACAAAAGGCAGCAGATCAGTGTTTCTCTCCCTCTCATTCTCCTTCCCTTTTACTCTCTCTAAAATCAGTAAGTGTGTCCTCAGGTGAGGATTAAAAAAAAAAAATTTAAGCTCTTTCAGTTACAAAAACGAGTTTTTTGTTGACTTCTCTCTCTCTTTTTCTTTTCTTTTTTTACCTTCATCTGACTGTTGATTTTTGAGCAGGTTAGCTATCTCTAGGTCTTCTTCAAAAACTGGGGTTCTTTGAAACATAGCAATATTTAATACATTTAAAATTTTCTTTTGAAAATTCCAATGGATGTTGGGCGTAAAAAACAAGTAAGTACTCTAGCAGTTTTTAGGACATCCTCTTGGTTTAAGCAACTCCTAACTTTCACATGTGTAATGTGAATGCAAATGAGTTGTTCAGAGCTGGGGAGAAGGAAAGAAGAAAGTGTTATTCTGTGTTACAAAATCATCTCCCTGTCACCTACATTCTGTAGCAGGTTTCACTGTCTTCGCCAGACCCCCTGTCCTTTTAGTTCTCTTGCATTTGAAGGTTTGTGTACATGTTCTTTAAAGGGTGGCTGGCAACTAAAGTCTTTGGCATCTTGCATTCAGTAGCCTCCTGAAGAGGTTTGAAAACGGGGAACCCCCTTCACCCTTCATGGCACATAAGGCATCACCCTTTGGTCAGAAACTTTGGGTGTCAGGTGAAACAGTGAAGCATATCTGCATTTGAATCTTCTCTCTTGAATCAGCCACACCCGATTTCTGTCCCATCTGGGAATTGTTTTGTTTGTTTGAGTATGTTTTTACTGCTAAGACCAGTTCTTTTTCCTCTAACTCCTCTTGCCCCTCCTCCCCTTTCTGCCATTACTGCTCAACTGCTTGACATGTTGTCAAAATAGAAGATTTGGTAACTGAGCAATACCAATGGAGAAGAAAGGGCACATTGGCTAATGCACTGTTGTGCTTGCAAAATGTTATAACGTGCATTAATTACACCTTTGGGTTTATTGTTGGAAAACATTGCAGGCTGTTCAGACACACCCACTGGACTCAGGTGTCAACCTCTCATCTTTTCCCTCTGCTCCTATACTGTTAAGTTTTCCCAGTAAGGTTCATTGTTGTAGTACATCAGTTAAGCTGTCCAAAAGAGGGCAATTGGGCAGTGACAAGACAAGCTCATGTGTAATGTGAAAAAAATGAATGTGGTGATGCATGAAGTGTAATCTCTGTGGTAACATATCAGAGACACTGGTAAGTAATTCACTAGCCATGGCATTGATTGATATGCTTAGCCGTGTGCTATAACTATTAGTCCCTGCCACATTATGAAAATGCATATTTAAAATCTAAAGAATGCCCTTATGTATGCCTAAGATGCATAAACAGAAATATTTCTGGAGTCAGGTACTTGTAGTGAAGTGAACTACCAGTGTCATGAGCATCTTTTGGGGAAAGAGGAGATTTTGTCTTCTTTACCGCCCCCTCCCCACCCAAAATGGCTTGAGAATTTAGTTATGTTGGACTACAACAAAATTTTTTCTTTTTCAGAGAGATAATGGCTTAAAACTGATGTCATTGTGAGGTTTAAATCGGCTTTCTGCTTGCTTGAACATGGTCACCTGGGTATGGGTGTGCAAGGACAAAAAAAGGTTGATCAACTCCGTCTTTGAGCCAGTGATACCTAGGGTTGTAAAATTGAGTTCCATGAACAGTAATCTGTCAACTGTCCCCACAACATACATTTTTTAAACGTGTGCCTGCATTTTCTTTTATAATGAAGGGACCAGTTGTCCTGGAAAAAGAAAGGTAGCAAGGCAAAGGGGTTATGTGTTGAAATACCCACTTCATGATATAATCATGAAGATTCTTTCACATACTGCTCATGACTTTTGCTAAGTTACTTAAACATGTATGTAAATATCAAAGTAAAGGAATGAAGAGAGAGAGTAATATTTTGAAGGCCTTTTCTTTTTCCTCTGAAGGTTTTGAAATGGAAGCATATTTTTGTTGCTTTTAAGGTTATTATAGGGCCTTTTCTCTCTTTTACATAATTAGCATATCTGTTTTTCTCCTTGGTCTCTTTAATCATACTATCCTTCCCAGCACCAGTACTTCCATATGGAAATATACTTTCAATGTCATTCTGATCATTTTAATTTTTAAGTATAAACTATAGATAGGGGAAAATTCATTGCTTGATTATGTGTCTGTTAATGTTTTTAACTCAGTAGGATTATTCCTGTCTACCATTTTGCAAGAAATGCTTGGTTCTGGAAGTTTGATATCCATTTAATCTGATGAGTGACTAGCCTACTTTTTTTTTTTTTTTTTATCTATCTTGTGATCTTGGCTGTCAAATAACAGCACCCCTTTAACAACACTAACAAGGTGTAGCACTGATGGAAGAAAATGATTTGACTGCTTTCTTCTAAATCTAATGAGAATATTCTTAAATTTAATTATCATATTGAAATTTGACCCAGAAGTCCATGTGTTGTCAGTCAGCAAGTTACTATTTTATTTACCATTTCTCCCTGTGGATGATGAAACTGATTGACTAGCTTGTTGGAATAAAAGGAGAGTAGAGTAACGGAATTTTCTCTGTTAAGTGTAACAAGACATTTGTCTCTGTCTGTATTGGCTAGATACAGAGATTGCTTTCAGTTTGTATTTATTTTTTTAACAGACATAATTCACTTTATTTTTAAAATAGCTTCAAAGTTTTGCTCTTTTTTCGGAGGGAAAGTGCTAGCACATTTGTTAGACCTGCGTTCCCCCTGTCTACCCACCTCCCTTGCTGCTGACCCAGAAATCAGTTAGTTTGAGTGGAAAAATAGGCAGCTCGTCTTTTCAAGTATATGTACTCCCTGGAAAATAAAAATAGGTGTTGGCTTGTGTAGCTTTCTATCAATATGCTATCACCAACAGACAAGCCTATTCACTGTTGTTTCAATTGAGTAACCAGTGGTCTGAGGGTCAGCCACACTTGCAGGTAATTGTTGGTGTGCAGACATCAGTGGCAGGCCTGTTAGCAGCAAACACATCCCACATGTCACTTTGCAAGATGTTTGAAACTAATAGCCCAGATGCAGCAAAACTGGACACAGGATTCTATAGTGACCTTTCCCTTTGTTTAATTTGCCTCCGAGGTTTAATTTCAAGGGGCAAGTAATAATTGAATATGCCTACTAACTAAATGCTCATTTGGGACAAAATCCATCAAAATATAATTGGCATTTGATTTTTATGAAGGACGAAGAAAACTGACTTGGCTGTTGAGGATGCGTTCTAAGAATATCTGACCACTTAATGTATCATTTGAAGCCGCCTTTATAATATATATTAATTGCAAATCCTTCAGCATTTGAACATTTTTGTGGAGAACCATTAGGAGAGACCAACTGTTTTTGTTACTGCTCCTCTCAGAAAGGCGGAGAAGGTTATTGGTCTGCTGTGCAATAATTTACTCCTCTTTGATATGCAAACGATCCACGGTGAATATAAAAAAATCCTATCAGACTCATTTCACAGTTCTTAACCACTCGGATTCTCTGGAGTCCATCGCCTCATTAGACCAGTGCTCTCCAATGCTAGCATAATTAAAATCTTTAACAGTTTAGCAAAGTAAAGATGTTTGGCTGATCACATTGAGATGATTATCTATCCATTGTATTCTAAATGACAAAAATAAATTAAATTTAGACCTTGGCATTTTTTATTATGTGTTTCAAATGAATATAATGCACACAGCCTTCTTTTTTAATTCAGTACCTTAGATTTGGTAAGAAACATGCCTGTTTCAGTTGCTGCTGTATAGTCAGAAAATGACCGGCTTTCTACGTGGCTGTGTCAGTTGACTGAAACCAGGAACTGCAGCCAGATGTCCAGTTCTACCGTGGGATTCCTTCTGATGGATAGGGCTCATGATCTCTCTTAGGTGCCTTCTCAAAGGAAGTTGCGTTTTGTCTTAGTTGCCACTTAGACTATTTTTCTCCTGTGCATGTATGCACTAGAACATGCCTTGAGGTGGGATTTGGAAACCCTGGGCTGTAGAGGCATACCACCAGAACAAAGGCTACAAGGCCACAAGATTGGGATGGGATGCGCATACTAATTATATATCGTGGAGATTTAAAATACAGGTTGACCCTTACTTCTTAAGACCCATGTCCATTTTGATCCCCTTAGAAAACGAGAACTTTACTACTCCAACTTTACATTTTCATTTCATTCTGCAATGGTTCATTAGCATTGATCTAAGAAATGACAGTGATAATAGTGTTACTTGTATAAAAAGTTATACAGTTTTTCAGTAGACACATCCATCAATTAAGCATGTAGTACTAGAAACCAAAATTAATGAGGAAGATAGGTGTGTTAATGAAATAATCATAGTATAATCAATTTGACTGTTAAAAGTTGAAAAGCATTTCAGGAAGATGATATGAATTCATAATTTATGTCTAAAAGTGATTAATAAAAACTATATTTAATAACAAAGCTATTTGTCATCATTTAAGACTTAAGCACAAAAATTATTCATTTTGTGGTTCGTGTTGTCAATAGTATTGTAGAACAAATTTACTTTGAGCCCTTCTTTGTGTCTAAAAATACATAACATCTATCTACTTTTTTTTCTCCCTCAAAATCCAGAAACCACAGTGTGGATGAAGGCATAGTGTCTTGGCAGAGTAGCTGTGTTTTGATGAGGACACTTCACCTGTGCTGGGGGTGGGGGAGAGGACAGGGTTGTTACTGCCATTATTTGCTTTAGTTGGGAGGAAAAGAAAACTGCATATACCCCCCCCCCAAAAAAAAAAAACAAAAAAAAAAACAAAACCCCTAACACTAGGCTTTGTTTACTGACTCTTTGATTTAATTACTGTTTGAAGAGGACAGAATTGGCTGTTAATTGATTTAATTATCCAATTTGTTTGTTTCAGGCATGATTCCAACTGAACTGCAGCAGCTCTGGAAAGAAGTGACGAGTGCTCATACTGCAGAGGAAACCACAGGCAACAATCACAGCAGTTTGGATCTGACCACGACATGTGTCTCTTCCTCTGCCCCTTCCAAGACCTCCTTAATAATGAACCCACATGCCTCTACCAATGGACAGCTGTCAGTCCACACCCCCAAGAGGGAAAGGTAGGAATGGGCCCCTGAGATGGGTCCACAAAATCCTTTAATGTGAGAGGGGGTGGCTGTGCCTCACTATATCTCCATGATCCCTAATTGGCTCCATGTGACGTGAATGTGCATATAATTACTTACAAATGTATTCAGTATTGTTTGGGTGTGAAGCATCTAATTATTTTCACCTTTCAACATGAAATTAGCACTTGCGTTGATCTAACCTAAACTTAGGAACCCAGGCAGAGTCTTTTGGTTTCATTGGATTTCAAGGCCTGCAGTCTTCCTCTGTCTGCCAAGCACTCACTCACACAGGCATTTCCTTGGCTCTAAATGCCATCTAAGGGAATGGCAGTGCCTGCTGTGGGCAGTTCTGAATTATGGTTTGAGAAAAAGTAAAACTTACACTACTCTCCACTGCCCTCCTTGAAGGCAGAGAGCCTATCTTTTTCAGCATTGTGTCCCCAGAGCATATGGCCTTTTTAAAAATAAACCCTCAGTGAAGGTTTGAAGGATGGAGAGGTGGAAGAGGCCCATGTGTGTACTGTGCACACACCCAAACATATGGAGTTCCCCTTCTCTTGATCATGGGATATATCGTAGTATTGTCTCAGTTGTTGTATTTCTATTTGGAAATTAAGCTTCGATACTTAAATTGCCCTGAGCTTTCATTTGGATGTTAAAGCTAAGGTTGCAGGAAGCCATCATGTGAGTGAGTATACAGTTCTGAGAAAATGGAGCTGTCATTCTGTGATTGTATCTTAGCTCCCAGAAGCACTAATGCTACGCTTGAATGCTTTTCAAAAGTGGAATATACAAATAATTAAGTTTCATAAACTTAAAAAAAGTTTTTAAATTTACTATTTTAAGCCATTTGCTATTATTTCATAATGCAGAGGTTCCACAGACAGAAGACACCTTAGAAGCAGTATGTCATATAGTCCAGTGTCATTTCCATGGGAAAAAAACAAATTTTATATTTTCGGTTTAAAAAAAGTAACTCAGGGAAAGTTTTTAAATTATGTTTTTCACATGAGCAATTACAAATATAATTTAATATATTTTTTAAATGTCAGATATCAGGAAACCACTGGTTCAAGTAGGCTTGTATCTTTATGCCAGGAGCGTTTTATCTATATAGAGCTTAGTGATCGCAGAAAGCATTATTGGAATACATATATGCATTTGAATCACATTCAAGTGCAATACCTATGACAGGTTCCCGAAGTGAGACTTATATATGTTTTAACCAAAACTTGCAACTAACCTTTCAAGATCAGTTTGGAGTTTCTGTGGAAGACAGAGAAGAACTAAAGATGCTTTAAACTCATTGGTTTAAAAGAGTTTGAAGAATGGAATGGTGGACAGTAAGAACCGGTTTGGAGCCATTGGACCAAATGTGGCTTCTGTTGTTTCCATTTGGGATAGATTGGTGTGTCTGGAAGCCAGTCTTAGCTCATGCTTTGTAATCTTTTATAATGCTTTTGTTATTTAAAATAAAAAATACTAACACTTCCATAGCTTTAAAGAGAAGGCTCTGGGGTGTTGTCCTTTGCTGCATTTGTTTTGTTGTCCTCAAGCTAATGCCTCCACTTACTGCAAAGTGCAGTTACATTGTGACCCACAGGCAGAGCAGGAGGCCCAGACACTGAGCAGTGCCCACTGTTGTGCTCCAGGGATTTGTTGCAATCTCATCAGCTGCTGTGGAGCCTGCCCAGATTTCCTGTGACAAAAACTGTTCTTGTTTGGATGCACCATGCTCAGTTTCATTCTAAAAGGTTGTATATCTTCAGCCAGGTGATAGGTAAGCAATGAGGCAAGTGGGAGAAAAATAGCCATTTCATGTCTTAAAGCACATTTGAAAGTGAATGGATCTAATAGACTGTCTAATTCCAGAAGAATAGGTTTCTTTGACTTTTTTTTTTAATGGTCCTTATTTGTCTGCACAAAAGTTGAGCATAATCTTCAGTATACTACATGTCAGAATTAGAATATGGATTAGAAAAGAATCCAGGTCCTATTACTGAGCCTTAATCTGAGTGTAAAAACAGGCTGAATTTTCCAACTGATCGTGTGAAGCAGCAGCAACTGGGAAATTACAAGCCACTATTTTGTCTTAGCTCTCTCAGTTTATGTCTTCTAGTAGATTCCTAGATATGGCTGGATTAAAAGAAAATTCTAGTTAGCACATTTTAATTGATTGTAGCAAATAAATGAGCACATTAGGTTGAAGATAATTCAAAATTATAAACTTAAAGAATTGATCATTAAAAATTCAACTACCGTGTATATATAAGTACTTACAATGGATGTTACATGGTTTTACCTTATTGTGGTTAATTTTAAAATCATGTGTTTGCTGTCCTGTTTAAATAGTGGAAAATGGTCAGAAAACTATCACTATAAAAATAGATTCTCAGTCACATCCTGAGCTCTCATTTCTCAGGAGTTTCTTGGAGAAGGTTTGCCCCACCCAGCCTCACTTGCATTTGTGAACATCTGTTTTTCCAGGCTGCCCCTTGTTGGTTGGGTAATATTTCGCCCCCCCACCCCCACTTTCCTGAGCAGTATCTGAACAAGCCAGAGCCCCTGCCACTCTAAATAAAAATAACCTAGCCCCTCAAGCTCTAATCTTAGGTTAAGAATTCTTTTTGAAAGGATTTGGGAATGCTCTCTGTGAAAGCTAGTTGGAAAAAGGCAGTATCGTGAGGGATTTTGTTTGGGGTGCAGTGAGTTGTCTCAGTCTCCCGGCTGGCTGCATGTTTCTCCAGTCCTGGCCGTGCATTTTGTGGGCTCCTGCTCGCTGCTGCTGCACCAGCACCAGCAGCTCTGGGGGCTGGTGAGCTGCAATCTGTTACGGAGATAAATAACGCGCTTGGCACGACACTCCCACTCTCCTCTTTAATTTGTCTTACACAAGGAAAATTATAATTAAATCATTCAGGGTAAACCCTTGAGTGTAGAGAAGGGAAAAAACACACTTCGGTAAAGATTACCAATAGAAGGAAACCCACTCCTTGTCGCACAGGGCCTGCACATTTCTCAGTGTTCAGCACTGTGATGGGATGAATGGCCCGTGTCATTTGGGAGGTGATACCTACACCCAGTTCAAGGCTTCTTAATATCCTGTCCCTGTGCAGTCACGGACATTCAGTATCATCAGAATTCAGAACTGGCACCGTGCTTCATGCTTTGATTTTCTTCTGACAATTGAATCACGTTTATTGTGCTGATTATATATAAACTCTGTGGTGCAGTAAAGGTACCTCTGTCAACAGTGCCTGGGGTTTGAGGATAGGTTTCAGCAGCAGAAGCTGAATGGAGCTGACAGAGGAAAAGGGACATTCCTGACTTTTACTGTCAGGGAGTTGTGGCTTCTTAGGTAAATGACAAAGTTCAGACCTAGGCTACCTGTAAACATGAGGATACTATCTTGTTTTCTTAACTTATCTGACTATCTTGCTTTAGGAAATTCCAAGTTTTGGTGTGGGTAAACAAAATCAACAGAATGCAAATGAAACATTTATTAAAATGCTAAATTTAGTAAAGCCCTTTGAGCTTCTTGGATCAAAGCAGCTATGTAAATACAAATAGCAATTACTACTTAAGTAATTGCCCGAATTAAAATTTTAAATATCACATTATGTTATGGTGCATTAGGGAAAGGGAAAGGAGCTCACATATAATCAGTTCCCTGTGCCAAGCACTGGCTGCTCTTTTACCTTTGGAGTGGTGTCGCATTTTATCCACATGACCCCTGGGAAGCAGTAGGGATTATTATATCCATTTTACAGAGGAAGAAATAGAGTCATAGAGAGCAAATAACTGACCTAGGGTCACAGAACTGGTTAGTGGCATGTCCAAGATCCAAATTCAAGTCTATCTTGTAGTTTATAAAACAGCACTTGAAGTTTCCCTTCAGCTTAGAAGTGAATATAGTCATGCAACCACAATGACATTTCAGTCATTGATGGACGGCATATAGGACAGTGGCCCCATAAAACTGTAATGGAGCTAAAGAATTTCTGTTGCCTAGTGATAGTGTCACAGCGCAATGCATTTACACATACTTGTGATGATGCTGATATAAACAAACCCATTGTGCTGCCAGTCGTATAAAAGTGTAACATATACTATTATGTACAGTATATTTTACTTAGTAATAACCAACTGTTACTGGTTTATTGTATTTACTGTGCTATAGTTTTTATCGTGTAAAACAGCATGCCATTTTCCACAAACCTCCGGCAGCAGCCTCATACAGCTCACACCATGTTGTCTTGATTGCATAGTTCTGTGTGCTTGATTTACTCTCGTGTTGTTTTGTGCAATAACTTGGTACATGGCCTTGTAGCCTAGGAGCAGTAGGCTATACCATGTAGCCTAGGAGTGTTGTAGGCTGTACCGTCTAGGTTTGTGTAAGTGCACTCTGTGGTGTTCTCTCAACAACGAAATTGCCTAACGGTGCATTTCTCAGAATGTATCCCTGTCGTTGAGCATCACATAACTACTTAATTATGATAAATTAAAGTCAATGTTCCTAAAAGAATTTTTAAATTTAATTTAAAATCAATTCAACAACACATGTATTCATTTAACCTACTGTGTGCAAATCAGAACATTTAAAGGAGATAGCAGTTTCCTCTTTTAACTTGGATCCAGATATTTACTAGGCCTTTCAAAAGGGGGAGGGTGGGTAAAATTTACAAAATATAAATTATTTAGAGTCTGAAATAGCACATAAAAAACAAAAATGAACCCCTTGAAAGATTTGTACACAGGCAAATAAATGCAAGATGAGCCTTTCTCTTTTAAAAGTGTCCTCACTTTCCTTCCTACCTTATAAATCTTACATTTCCTCATTGAATACATCATGTGGTCTTTATTCTATTTCAGCTGTCCTCTGCAGTACATACTAGAAATACTCATTTTCAGTGATCCTTCCCAGATTTTTGCTTTCAGTTCACCCACCATCAGTGGATGTTTTAAAACTTGAGTATTTCTCAGACTCATAG